CTTTCCCCTGCTCCTATCACTTGGCTACCTCTGCTACCCAACACTCCTTATCGGAAATAAAGAGAGAGGAGGCTATAGAAAGACAAGAAAAGAGATAAAACCCAAAGCAAAGCCCATGAGGACTGTGGGGCAGATTTTTGGAGATCACAGTTTTAACCCAAAGACCAAAGATAAGGGGTCTGCGACATCTAGCGTTTGGGACCCTGAGAATAAACCCAGCCTTCTAAAAAGCACATAATCCCAGTCACATCACAGTCAGAATACATGATAGTTTTTTCCTCAGTCATTAAGACATATCGGTGCCATGAGAAAGAGATCCTGTTCTCTTCTTTACTCCATGTTTCCTTCCTTCCAATTTCTCCTGAGTAAAATAAGCACAAAAGTATTTGTCTGATACTAAAACATCTCCCCCTCATAGACTTCGTGGAGAAATTGGCCAGGCTGCATGAAAATATTTTAGGCTCGTCCCCGGAGACAAGCAAGGATTAAAAACCAAATGTATTTTATTAGTTATATGAGTAAATACAGTATTTTAACTCACCTTTTAGATTTTACGAGTTCAGCATCTCAGTGATTACCATGCTGTGTAATAAGAAAATATGGTATGTCTGACACATATCTCTGACGTTTCAATTCCCCTTTTCCTGCCTGCAAGACTCTTGGCAATAAAGCCCAGTCTTGTAGTTCCATATGCCGCTATTGCATCTTGCCTCTACCTCTCTCCATGTACCGGGCACACGTTTTCTAACCAGCCACTGGCCGTCTTCTCCAGGAGGCCCCTACACACCTCCAGGCTGACACCTCCAGACCTGGACTTGCCTCTCCTAGGCATGACCCACTCACTCCCCATCCCTCCCATTCTCCCCGTTTTCTCAATCCCAACCCTGCCGGAAGGAACCCCCATGGTATATGTACTTATATTTGACTTTGCCGCACGGTATTTCTGCACACAATGTGTCTCTATACTAGAGGTGAGTTTTTCAGAGTCGGACCTGTGCTTGATTCATCTTTATATTCCTTACATCACTTAGCAAGTGCCTTACATGTTGGAATACTCACTAAATATTCATTTCCTGAACGGAATGAACACTCAGCCTTTAGTGCTGGTGGCAGGGAAATCAAAGGGCCCCAAATGAATGGAGAAGAACTATAACACTCTTATGGCAAAGTCTAGGGCAGGGGGAAGGAGGAACAATGTCCTTTCCAAATGTCTTACAGAGTGCTAGTCATCCTAAATGTTTAATAAGGCACGGTTGATTGAATGACTAATAATGCTCATCCCCTTTGGAAAGTAGTTGGAGTGGTGGGGTGACAGCATTTTCTTTTCATTTGCCCTAGAGGCACAGAGTCGGGAGCAGGGGAGGGGACATATTATATATACTTTCTGGCTAGCGTCATGCACAGTGGACCCCAAGTGCCTGCCCCTGCTGAACTGCCACAGACACATATAATGTCTCCCAACTTCAGATGCAAGGTGGTAGGTCAGCGCCTTCCCTACCACAGTGGTTCATTTTCCCACTCACTACGCTACGAGCTTCCTCAGAACGAGGATCCACCTTCTTTATTACTTAATTCATCCATCTTTAGAACTATGATGCCTGGCACATTGGTGCTCAATAAATATGTGTGGAACAGCAAATGTTTCTTGGAGCTTAATATTCATGAGGTTAACAATACTAGAAGGACACTCAGTTATTAAGAAAAACTATTAATCAGTTGTTTTCTAAGGTTTGCGGAAAATGGTCCGGGAATTAACAGGCCTAAACTATTTTTCTTTAAATATTAAATCAGAGTAGTCTCCTTCTTTCCCAGTGTGTTCTCCAGACCACTGGATCAGAATGATCAGATCCATGTGCCCCCCACTCCCAAATGACTGTTATTTTGTGGGGTGAGCATGGGAAGCTAAATTTTAAACATGCACTGTAGGAGTTTAGGCAAACTAAAACTGCAGGGCACTGGCCTAGCATGACAGGTTCAAGAACTGTCTGTCACAGGGAGAGGCAGTGTGGCTCGGAAACTTGACTATGGAACGGAGCCAAGGCTTTCCGTCTCCGGGGTCTTGAAGCATAGGACAGATCTGTTTCTGTCTCAGATGGCATAGAGCCAGGAAATTGGGCAGGATGGCCTCACAAGATTCATTCTGGTTATGTACGTAATCCTTTGAAAAGCACATTCTCTGTCATCCCCTCAAATTCGACATGCGCGTGAACAAAACTCTGGACGTGTCCTTTCTGTGCTGGTAGATGAACACGGCTTGACTCATTTGCTTTCCTTTTCAGCTGTTCGCTCTTCTATGCAGTAAATCCAACATTCTTGAATGCCTGCATAATGCAAGACGTGGACAAGATACTTCTGAAGAAACTTGGTCTACAAATCAACCGTGTGTGAAGAATTCCACTACCGGGGACCTGCTAGGGGAGGTAAGCACATGACAACTAGGGAACAATTCAAAACATGACAAGGAAAGTCAAGAGAAAGTGTTTGATGCCTACGTGGAATTAATCATGCAAGCAGCATCTCAGGATGTTCTGAGGAGAGCGATCGTTCGAGCTGGGGGTCCATTTGAGCCTCCTCTCTAAGACAGGGGAAGATTTGGAAAAGCAGGAAGGAAAAGGAAAGGTGTGTCCAGGAATGATTGTGGCACGAGCACATTTTAGATGAGGAGGTTGTGGAGGTTAATCGAGAAAGGTGGGGAGTGGATGAGCAAGTTGGAGACCTGCTTGGGGGTGGGGGGCAGTTCTAATGCCATAGCAAGAGAATTTGAGACATTGTCCTGTAGGGCAGTTGGAGGATTGGGAATCAGTGGAGTTTGGGGAAAGTAGTGTTTTAACAAGATTAATCAGGTGGCAGTTTTAGGATGATGTTTAAAGAGAAAAGAGGTGAAGTAGATAGAGCCGTCTGAATGTGATTATAATGGACCAGACATGAGGTTAAGAGGACTTTGACCAGGGTTCGAGTAGGAATGAAAAGAAAGAAATGATAGTGAGAGATATTGTGAAGTTAAAGAAAGGAGGAAAGAACTCAGAAACAATGGGAAATGGGGTTTCAAGGGAGAAAGAGAAATCAAAATAGAGCATCCATTTTCGTCTTGTAAGTATTGATCCCTGGTCGGCTGTATGCAACCTTTTGGAGAAAAAGGTGTTTCCTCATGTCTGAACCTTGCCAGTGCATTTTTCCATTGACTTACATCAGCTTCAGCATAAGCCAGTCTGCGCATTTCCAGGCACTTCCCTATTGCATTCTAATGTAATAATGTAATTCAGAGACGTGTCCAGTCCCACTTGTTGAGGACAAACAGAGTCTGGCAAAAACCAGGCCATTGTATCAGTTGTCAGCCATGTCTTGGCACATCTGCCCTTCGGTGCAGGTGCTCTGGGTCAGATGTAAGGAAGTCACTAGCGAAGCACTCTAGGTCGATGATGGAGAGACACCTAGACGGTAGCTAGCTAGCTTGCTAGGAGGATTGTGATTAGGAGGAAATGGTCAGTCCATATGATCCATCGTTTTCCAAAAACCAAACCTAAAGTATAGTTTCCACACTGGGCTTGCTTCCTAAGAGAGGAAAATACAAGCTCTTCTTGAGGCTAGCTGAATTACTCAGAAAGAGAAGAGAAAGCAGACCCCAAAACTCTGGTGAGAGAGCCGTGCTCCAACTCAGACATCATCGAAAGGCCTCTTCCGCTTCTACAGTGAATGAATGTCTGACCGAGTTTGAAAATAAGGAACTTGGACTAATGAGCTCAGCTGAGAGCGTGGTTGGCATGACATTGGCCTTGTGTTCCAGAGAGAAGAGTCAGTGCCTCAGTTAGGGATGACAGCCTGAGTAGATGGATCGTCTTGTTCGGGGAGATGCAGAAAACATCCTAACTGAACCCTCAGTCAAAAATTAGGTGTGTGATGGAGAAGGGATGGAGGTGTCTCCTGGACGGTTGGCAACAGAAGCTGGCGTCAGGGAGAACCACAGAAGGCTGCAGAAAGTGATCAATGAGGATGTACTTCTGGAAAGATAGAAAGAGCACGTCCCCCAGATCACCTCCGACAGACCCCTGTGTGGTGGGGGGGAGTGGCAGGCTGACAGGGGAGCAGCGTGACCACCTCCGTGAGGAGAAGCAGCGGTCGGTAGTACAGAGGAGAGGCCGGCTGGCTGAGGACCCCATTCCTGCCTGGGATTCAAGTTTCTACGAGCTGGTGGCCAATTCCTCCTGGGGAATGTTCCCGGCCTGGGAAAGCAGAAGCTGAACTGGGAAGTCATGACGCCATAGCCAGAGGTACAAGATGGCAATGCTACATGGATTCTTCTGGAAGCTCTAGGGTCTTGCAGGGCAGAAGGCTGTCACGTGGAGACAGGATAGAAATGCTAATGATGAGGATGCTGGCAAATGCTTACCAAGGGCTTATTATGTGCCGGCCACTGTGCAAGCTCTTTACACATTCTGTTGCTTTAAATCCTCATAATAAACTTAAGAGGCATGATTATTAGCCCCAAATGAGGAGCCTGAGGCTCAGAGAGGTTAAGTGACTTGTCTATATGGATAGCCCAGGTTCCTCACCACTGCCAGATACCTCAGATGACCCTCCCCACCATCCCTCTATTTTTTTTTTTTTTGGTCTGGAAAAGACATTCGGGGAAGAACAGAGGCACACAGTGCCTGACACCCCGGCAGGTTACAGGCCTCTCCCGTAAGTGTTTACACTCCCCAACAGAGGCCTTGAACAAAGCCGACGCTCAGCGGAGTGAAAATCTTGTCTTCCAGACAACATCTCGATGCAGGCAAAGGGAAAAAAAAACATTTGCTAAGCTTTAGATGTAGCCGTTGTCCCCATCAGAGGCAAGAGCATCTCTGTAATGATGAAAAGCACTATAATTTTAACCTTGTTATTGGACTAAGCACAATTTACGCTAGCGATGGAAGAAAAAGAAAAGATTTATGAGATGTAAGATAGAAAGATAAACTCTTGTCCCTTAGTGGCTATTAGAAACATTGCCAAAATACCATAAATGTGTGAAAGATGACATGATTATTTTTGCATTTCCACTGGGCATTTCCTACATTGCAAGAATTTACAGGGACAGAAGTCCCCAGTACAGATGGTAGAGCTGGAGGGGAAGGGAGGCCGAGCGAGCAGCCACATGCCCAGCTCCTCCTCCTCCGAGGCCCCAGTGGCCAAGGCCCAGTCGGGGACGGCTGTTTCATCGGGACGCGGCGTCAGTTGCTGGTCCTCCACAAGATCTGGAGCTTGGGAGAGCAGCCGGGGCAGTGAGGGAGGCGCCGGGAGAGGAGAGCGAGCTGATGTTCATCAGCCTGCCCCACAAAGCGCATAAACAGAAGCTCCCAAGAAGGTAGGGCCACCAGCCTGGCCCCAAGGAGCCATGGAAGGTTTCCTTTTAAAAGAGAAAGGAAATAGTCACCGGAATGTGGTTTAATTGAAACCAGCTTGAAATCAGTCTTGCAGCTGGCCAGCCTGGACCGGTTGTCCTCGAAGGGGCATCATGGACACTCACATCCGAAGGCCTGGTCACAGCAAGGGAGTCATGACCTCGGCTGCCGGGTCAGGTCCAAGGTGTGGACTGTGTAGGGCCTGGGGTTAAATCAGGTAACGGGTCCAGCCGCCAGCCTCGTGAGCAGGAGATAAATTTGGACATTGACCTCTGGAGAAACTTCTAGCAGGCTTGGTTTTAGGAAGATAGGGCGCCAACTATGAGCAAAATTGGGGTTTCAAGATTTGCTCATCTTGAGCGGCATCAATCATTTCTTCAGTCTGGGGCTGTGCACCTCATGGGGCTGGAATAGAGAAGCCAGCAGACCACTTTAGGGTTCCACTTGCCACAAACTGGGTGTCCTTTCAATCAGTCCCTACCTCTCCGATACAGACGGTAAGAGAAGGAGTTACAGAACACCCGCAAACCGCCTGAGGTGCCCCAAAGAGAGATGCCACGTGCATGGGTGACACAGTCTTGTGAATACTTGTGCACCTAGTGATGTGCAGGCCTTTCACGGGCAGAAATGAGGGCCACGTGCCAGGAGTACTGGCTTGAGTCATGGTGACTTCTGTACCTAGCCGAGGGAGTACTTGGGTTGCTGTATTCCATATTTAAATTTAGGCTGCAAATGGAAAAACAGTTTTTACAACTCTAAATGCACTTTCTACTACACAGAATGGTGACTGGAGCAAAAGCAAAAATAGCTGCTCACACCATGCTCTGAGAAATTCTAAATCTGAAAATGATCATTTTTATTTGCATGCTACCAAATAAGGACATGGGGGAAGCAGTGAGTCACCAGCGTTCTAGCACTTACCAGATTCCAGCATGCCGCGAGGGTATTCTTTAAAATGAGATCTGGACAGTCTAAAATTTACATGAAGCTTTACCCCAGATGCGTAACCGCTGAGTCCCGAAAAATGGGCCGGATCACAACTTTGCCAAACAGTGATGCTAAGTGCTCCGATGACTTCAGTACTTTCAAAACCTCGGATATATGGGAATAACACTTCACATCTGAAGGGTACCTTAGACTTTTAAAAGTATTTCCACCTACATCATCTCATTTGATCACATCTGAGTCTCACAAAATCCTCAAGGCAAGGTGTTTGTAAGTGTGTGGTTGTCATATTAAAATATCATTGAACCAGTGGGGCTTTTTGTAGAGCCAGGATGAATCACAGCGGGTAAGGAAAAAAGGAACAAACAAATGAGGACTAGGGGATTTGGAGATCTGAGCTCCCTGTTAACATTTCACGAGGCCCCTGTATAAACCCGAGTTCTTAAAGTGCCAAAACCCAGCAGAAAGGTTTAGGAATTGCTTGCAAGCCGAGTGTGTTGTCTTCTTCCTCTGTGCTTTTTATAAGACAGTTTAAAGAGAGTTAGGGAATCTTCTGGCCTTTTGTTTTGAAACTTCCTCTGCTTGTTGTCTACTTGTCTGCAGACTGTGAGATTGGTCTATTTGCTTTAAACAGACTGAACAACCTTTAAAATAAGCAGACTTCTGTGACGGGCTGCCTTATTTTGGATGTGCAAAGATGTTTACTGAGCTTCTCATCTCAGACTTGATTCTTCTCTCATTGTGACACAGTTAAGGGTTTAACGGGGAGCGCCGTCTGTTGTAGCATGTTTTAGAAGGTGGAAAAAGAAAAATGCCTCTGTTCTACAGCGTGATCAGCTATCTGCATCTCCCCAAGGATTTTTTTCATGAACCTCAGAAGGAAATCTGTATTATTCAGGTTCCCAGGGGCAAACCACTCTTGCCAAGAGACCACTGAGCGGTTTTCAAAGACAGAAAGCACTTCTTGTGTTCCCAGGAACCAGGTTAGCCCTGGGGGCTCAAGGCCAGAGACCCAGGAAGAGCATTTTCTGGAGAGTTTTGGATAATTACAATAGGTTTTACATACGGACTTACATCAAAATAGTGAAATAAATAAATTGAAATGATATCCGCATTGCCCCCCCCACCCCCCTGCTTCATTGCACAGAGAGACAGGGGTAAAGGGGGAGTGAAAGAGACTGCCACCAAGCAGGAATGCTTCTGTCCATCCCCCCACCACCCCCGGGCTTATCACCCACCTTGGTGCAACACAGCTCACTGTGTACGGGCCTCTCCCGCGAAAAGGAGGCCATGAGGGTGAGCAAGCCAGGGGGTGCTGGGCATCAAGGACATGCAGCGGCAGGTCACAATAGAAACCAGGGTTCAGGATAGAAAGGTTCTGGTGCTGCCTCCACCCAGATTATTTGTGCGACTTTGGTCCAGGCATTCTCTCTCACTCATCTGTAAAACCAGAGGTTGGACCGAGTGTCCCCAAGCTTCCTAAAAGCTCCTAAAAATTGGGATCATCTTGGTAAGGACCGTGTACAGAGGTTGGGAGGCAAAGCATAGTCTTCCCTGTTGGCTGTAAAAGAATAGAGCCGGGAGGTGCTGTGAAAATCCTCCGCAAGGAAGCCTGGTGATGGGTGGGAAAGCCAAGGAAGGTAGGGTTGTGGGCAGCGTGTGCCCTGGGGGGGACCCAGGCCTCAAGCAGCAGGTCGGGCTGCGGCCTGGGGCTGTGCCCTCTCCCTCGCCCGCTCCCCTCCCGCTCCCGCTCCCGCTCCGCATGCTCCTGTGGCACCTTGCGCGCACAATTAAATGTCAGCCCCAGAAAACACTTCCCTTGGCTTTGTTGTTCCAGAACGGGCTTCTTTTGTCCTCAATATAATGGATATGCAGAAACAATGATAGAACAGAGATTCTTTTTTTTCCAAAGCGATGACAAACACACTGCCGCTTCCTCCCTCCCTCCTTCCTCCTTATCCCCACCCCCCAAAATAAATCATTGTTCCAAAAAAAAAAAAAATCCATTGTCTATTGTCCGCGGAGATGAAGCTCTGCCGAGGACCGGCTCCGGGGGCTCGCCCGGCCCCGAGCGGCCGGCAGGGGGCGCACGAAGGCAGCGCAGGCGGGTCGCGGGCTCCTCGGGGCGGGCCGGGCCGCTGGGGCGGGGGGAGGGGAGGAGCGGGGGTCCCGCCGCCCCCGCCCCCCCCCCGCCCGGGCTAATTGCTGATGCTCCTCTGGGACTCGGGGTGGGGAGGGGCGGGCGGCGCGGGCGGGGAGCGAGGGGGGAATCCGGTTCCGAAGACACAAAGACTCCGGGGGCTCGCGGCCCGGGAGCAGCCCCCCCCGCCCCGCCCCCGCCCCCGCCCCCGGCCCTGGCTCCCGCCCTCGGGGCGGACCCACCCCTGCGAGGAACTCGGGCCCTGGGCGCGGAGCCCCCGCGCCGCCCTCGCTCGCTGAAGCCCCCAGCTCGGCGCCCCCACCCCGGCCTCGGAGCCCCAGCAACCCCCCCGCCCCTCCCCGACCTCGGAGCCCACCCCGCACCCCCACCCCGACCTCGGAGCCCCGGCCGCGACCCCCCCGCCCCGGCCTCGGAGCCCCAGCATCCCCCTCCCGGCCTCAGAGCCCAGCCGCCCCCCATCCCCCCCCCCACCGCCTCGGAGCCCGGCACCCCCCCTCGGAGTTCCAGCACCCCCTCCCCCCTCGGAGTTCCAGCACCCCCTCCCCCCTCGGAGTCCCAGCACCCCGTTCCCCCCTCGGAGCCCCAGCACCCCCTGCCCCCCCGGAGCCCCAGCACCCCCCCCGGCCTAGGAGCCCCAGCACCCCCTGCCCCCCCGGAGCCCCAGCACCCCCTCCCCCCCTCGGAGCCCCAGCACCCCCTCCCCCCCTGGAGCCCCAGCACCCCCCCCACGGCCTCGGAGCCCCAGCACCCCCTGCCCCCCCGGAGCCCCAGCACCCCCTGCCCCCCCCGGAGCCCCAGCACCCCCTCCCCCCCTCGGAGCCCCAGCACCCCTCCCCCCCTGGAGCCCCAGCACCCCCCCCACGGCCTCGGAGCCCCAGCACCCCCTCCCCCCCTCGGAGCCCCAGCACCCCCTGCCCCCCTGGAGCCCCAGCACCCCCCCCACGGCCTCGAGCCCTCCGCCTGCAGCCCCCCGCGGCTGCCTCCGCCTCGGGAGCACCCTGCAGGCCGGGGGGCGGGAGGCTCCCGTGGCCCGGGCCCTCCCGCGAGGAGGTGAGGAGGTGTGGGCGTCGAGGCGGCGCTGGGCGTGGAGGCCGCGGAGGCCGCGATGGCCCCGGAGGCGCTGGGCCCTGGGCCGGGAGCGGGAGCGTGGAGCGGGGCCCGGGGCCTGCGGGGCTCCCGGCCGCCCTGTCCTAGCCCCGCTGCCTGCCGCAGGAATACTTCCCTCACAGGGATGCTGTGAGCGGTTTACAAGTGGTGCTTAGCTTGGGGGGGCCGCTGCGGCAACTATTACTATGAACCGCCTGAGCCTCCCTGGAGGGGGGGTGCACACTCTGCCCCTGAGTGGGACCCGCGTCCCTGCTGCCCCCTGGAGAAGGGCTGGAGGAGAGCGGGAAAGCTCCAGCCCCCCCACCCCCCAAGGCCGTGGGCCCCGTGGGCCTCGGCCCCAGCCTCCTCCTGGCCGGCCTGGGCTGTGGCCACTTGCCAGGGTCCTGGCCTTCCTCTCCCTGGACATGCCCTGGGCTTGGGGAGGTGGACTCACCCAGGTGGGAATCCTGGACCCTCACCTGCCAGCTGGGAAATTGGGCAGGTCATTTAGGGTCCCTGAGATTGTTTGCTCTTCTCTAAAGCAGTGGTCTGATTGCGACCTCCCGGGGTTCCCGGGAAGACTGACGGAGGTGAGGTGCACACACCGCCTAGCGGGGCCGATCTCTTCAGTGAATTCAGAATTTCCCGTCTTACGGTTGGAAGCTAGGTTAGATGGTCCTGCAGAAGATCATGGAGGTTCACCGGAATTTGCACGGGCAGCCACCCAAGGAGCCTGGCAACGGCCAACAGGTCGCTTCTCTACTCCCGCCTGAGTCAGCAAGCTTGTTTCCCCTCCAGGAAAAGAGCAGAAATCCAGTGAGGGCGCGTCCTCCCCAGAGCCTCACAGGTATCATTCAGACACTTAAATAGGCTTGTGACCTTCTGGGGCCAGCAGACGCCCATTTTGGAGCAACACTCCAGCTGGAAGGTTCTCTAGGGGAGGGTCTTGCTTTAGGGTTGCATTCTAAGCCGTGGTGTGTGCCTGGCTAACCGGTGTCTTGGTGACTCATTAGCACTGCCCACACGTGCGCGGCTACCGAGGCAGGGCGCGGCGGCCAGGGTGTGGCGCGGAGCCACCACCTGCCTAAGGCAGGCAGGAGGTCAGGAGCTGTTGACCCTGCTCTGAATGGACGCTCGGGCATCCCCACAAGCGTCGCGTCGGATTCGTGGAGCTCCTGGGAGAAGCTCAGGCAACGCGTGGACCGATTCCCTCGGGCAGTGGCAGGGCCAATAAGCAGCTGTGGGCGCCAGCTTCCAAAATGGCCCCTGGGCCTTGCCTCCTGGTATTCATGTCCTGGTGTCATCTCCTCCCACATTAAACAGGGCTGACTTGTGCAACCCAAGTGAATGTTACAAAATGACAGTGTGTGACTTCCAAGGCTAGCACAGAAAGCACATTGTGACTTCTACTTTGCTCTCTCTTGTATCACGCACTGTGGGGAAGGCTGGTCTCTGCGTGCTGACAATACTCAAGCAGCTCTTTGGGGGCCCCACACACCAAGGAGCCGGCCTCCTGCCATCAGCCGGCGGCAGCGTGGCAGCCGTGGGAGGGCATCATCCTGCATGAAGTGGATCCTCGAACCCCAGTCAAGCCTTCAGATGACTGCAGCTCTGGCTACCATCTTGGCCACGTGAGAGACCCTGAACCAAAACCACACAGTCAAGCTATCCCTGAATTCCTGACTCAGGAAGACAGTGTGAGATAAACAAGCAAACAAGACCGTTTAGGCTTACACGAAGGGCAGAGGTGCTGTAGGAGGTGTATCACTGGTGACTAATTTAGCAACATTCCGGAGAACCATTGGGTTTCCAGAGACTACAGTGGGGGGTACAGTGAGGCTCCCGCCCCCCTCACTTCTGCGAGTATAGTTCCGTATACATGTCGGAGTCTAAAAGCCCCTCACTGACCTCATCTGAAGGCCTTGCCTCCAGAGCATCTGGGGGAAAAGCTCAAGCTCGAGTCTCCTAGCAGGACTGAGTTAATAGCAGCCCCAACCTTCATTTTTGAAAGGGGTTGTGGGTAGGACATTCCCTCCCCTGCCCGCACCTCCTTCCCCCAGCCGGGTCTGGCACTTGGCCCAGGTATAAAATTGCCAGCTCTGTCACTGCTCTTTGGTCTGATTATGAGTGTGTCTGTTCTGATGCGCTGGTTGCAGTGTGTCGTGGGGGAAATGTGGGCACAGAAAAGGAAGCTGGGGCAGATCTCTGGGGCATCCTGCTGTTGTAAGCCTGTAGGTGGCGGGGGGGGGGGGGTGCAGGTTACCATGTCCCGAGGGGCGTGGAAACGGGCTACTTCATGGATCGGCTATGGAAGTTACGGTGCTCAGCTTACTTTGCTCCTTCCTGAAGTCCCCCTGGCCATTTCCAGACAGAAACGTGTGGCGGAGGCCATGCCCCTGAGAGTGGCCGGGTCACTCCTGGGCAGCAACTCGGTCCAGCACTCATGGTCCAGGAATCTCCTGTTTAATGGAAGCGGAGTGATTAAAAATGATAATCCTACGAAATACTCTTGAGGTGACCAAGTGCGACTTGAAATCCTGTTCTCTCATGAAATATCTGCCAATGAGTATAGTTACCTCATGATTTTGTTAAGTCTGAGCAAATCTAAAATCTCCGACGGGGCGTCTCTCCCACTCAGCGTTCTGCGGCTGTTCTGCACAAACCCTTCTGCTCCCTAGATCTAGGGCCCTCACAGAGTTGGCTGGTCAGGAAACCTCCACCTCTCGCAAACCATCCAGATCCTCTAAAAATCCATTCCTTATTTTTGATGTGATTCTAAGTTTCAGTTTTTTATTTTTTTCAGAAAGTTTTATTTCTGCTATATTTTTAGATTCAAAAGTATTTATTTAAGGTGAACAAATGATACGGCATACACGACTGCTTGGAACTGCTTTTAATTGAGAACAAAAAAGGAATACCTAGGACAAGAATATGCAATTACCACACTTATTGTTTCCAGTGAATTTTTGTCAAGTTTGTTTATCTCATTGTTAATGTGATGATACAGCAATCCTTGGAAAAAGAATAACATTTGCGTTAAAGAACAAATCTAGATAAAAATGGAAAACAGAGCTAGCCACAACCCACAAGGCCTTCTTTGGGAAGAACTCTTCAAGAAAAACCATCTCATGCTTCACAGGAGAGTATGGTGCTGTCATTCTTCCCTTTATAGTGCCAGAGTGTTCCTGAACAAAGGCCTCAAGGCATTATCAACTCGTCATCTATTTTTTGATGTGATTTCTATTTTCAGGGCCCTGCTTTCCTCCCTCTTTGTTCCTGATGCATCTGGTCACTGGTGCCTTCTACTTTGGTCCTATCATGTTTAATGTGACCCGCCCCCACGAGTCAGATGGGCAGGGACATTGTCCACCCACGGGACCAGAGGAAGCCTTCAAGGATCCGCCCACTCCGGTCAGACGAGCTGGAGGTATGTGGAGTCTGAAGGCTGATAAGGTTGTTCCAAGTGAACTGGACAGGAACCGGTGGGCTCTCAGTATCATCCAGGCCCTGGCTATTGTTTTAACAAACAACCAAAACAGAACACAACACTATTTTTTTTTCTTTTGCTGGGCTTTCTGATGGTATGGTACCCAAGTCCCAGTGTGTAACCTAATCAAAAATAGCAATTATGTAGTGCTTAGAAATTTACATAGCTCAACCAATCTTACAGGGTAAGGAAAAGAAGAAACTGAGGGTATTTATGTCTCACTGACAAATGATAGAGTGTCTCTAAGCAGGTCTGCTAGCTCAAAAAATTCTGCGGCTTAGATTCTAGAAATAATTTTAATCTGATTTTAATATTTATTCATTCAGTCACACATTTGCTTAAATGTGTAATAATTGTCTATTATATACTAAGCCCAGGTATATGTTAATGAATACAACAGACCTGGATCTCTCCTTAGAGTCTACCAAGCAGTCAACCCGCAGACAGTGCTGGGTACACTCACAACTGCGTACGTTCTGGGGGAAAATTTAGATGGACTCAAAGATGGAGAATAACATGGTGTGCCTGCACAGATGAAGGATTAATAATGACTTTTCTGAGAAGAAAACACTTAAATCAACATCTGAACAATAAATTGTACCACACACTCACTCTAGCCATGTGCTGCTATTCCAGGAAAACACACACACACACACACACACACACACACACACACACACACACACACTGTGGGCAAAGACCCTGAGAAGAAAAAAGTCTGATGTGTTTAAAGAGTAGAGCATTCTGGATATAGAAATTTGCAGACTAGAGAACATGCTAAATCATAGCCTGTCAGGTTTTGATTGGGTAATTTAGTCTGGCCACCGGACCAGTTTCTAAATCCCCTTCACAATACTCCCTCTAAAGAGCCAATCACCTCACGCTTTTGAGTCTCTCCACAAGAGAGAATGTACTATGTCTTGGAGTAGCCATGCCAGTTTAGGTTAAAAATATGAATTTGTTCCAACTAGGAAGCTGGAACTGGAATCATGAATTGTAGTCACGGGCCTGCGCCTGAGGAAATTTTCAAGTTGAAGTGCAAGAAGCTACTTAGATAGCTCTATTTACCTTTCTTTACTATGTGGAGTGCCAAGGACATACAGCAGGATTTCAAGTTCATCGTTCTTTTCTAGAAGAAAAAAAATATGAGAATAATAAGACCGCACTTGTGAACTCCCCACACTTTTCTATTGTAGCAAAATTCATGTCAGTATCTTAGCAAACCAACGATTGCACAATAAAGTCAGTTGTACCCTTGAAAGACAGCTGTGTGTTTGGGCTCTAGTGGTGAGGTGGGAGTGACTTTCCTGTGGTGTTTGTGGTACATCATGTAGAGGAAGTGCACGTATCCACCAATTTTACAAAAGTCTTTGATAATGTGAGTTGACTTACACGTGGCCTGTTATTGATCTGACTACAGAAACTCAATGGGATTCCATAAATATATGGAAGATCTATTTGAAGATATTCCCCACCGCCAGTCTACACCACTAATAGTTTGAGCCCGGGTGGAGTGTTTGTTCAAGGGTACATCAAGAAACCTAAGTTTCAAGGTCTTAGGGAGGTACTTCCAACTTGACAACTCACAGGCTACTCCCTCTGAAAGCCATTTATGAAGTGATATGGTGGCTGCTGAGGTACCCCCCTTGAAACCATCTTCAGAGGATTTTGGACCATGTCGCAGAATTATAATACTGCTAAGGGTGTGAAAAGTCAACCAGCTGACCAAGATTAAATGCTAACTCATGCAACGAAGCCCCGTTGGTAGTCACAAGAATTTCACCCATAAAAGAGAAAACCTCCATTGGATTTTGCTTCTCAGATGGCAGTAATGCTCTAAAACTATCAAAGAAATAGAAAAATAAGCCAAAAAAAATTCAAGCTATCTTAATGAGGCTGGGCAGGTGGAGTACGGTGACCATGTAGCACTTAGTTCTAGACCAGACTAAAAGACATCTACAGACAAGTGCCACAAATGTCACGGCCAGCTTCTTGAGCCAGCTCCTGAGGGTTGCCTACTAGACCTGCTTCATATTAAAGGATAAGAGGTTCACCAAAGTGCCTGAAACGCAACCAGCTCACCAGGACTGAAGGTGTCTTTCCTGGGCCAACCGAATGTCAAAAAAGGAATGTCAACAGCATGCTCTTGGTGAGCTGAGGTGGGACCCCTTCAAGGAGGCCAAAGGACTCCTTTCAAGATCTGCTCAAGAATGACTTTCGTGATGACTTCTAGTGATGACAGCTTGGCCGAGAAAGCAACAGACCTTGCTGTCCAACTCTAAGGTGAAATGGAGCTGAACCTTCCGAGCAGAGGCATCTGACAGCTGGCTGCAGGAGGGAGGCTGTCTAGAGAGAGCAACTGGCCCTGCAAACAGAGATTGGAATTGCAAGCCGTAGGTTAGTCCCGGCCTTTTATGTATGTTACTTATGAGAACAATGCCTGGCACATAGTCGTAGGTGCTCAATAAATGTCAGCTGTATGATCAGTCTATAAGGCTCATCATAGGAAACTGGAGTTCATATTCCAGCTTGCCATTAACTGGTCCATGTTCTAATTCTGCCAGTTACTACTGAGCACGGAGGGCAAATGATTAAGAATGTTTAATACCAGTTCTTTCCTCTCTCAGATGCAAACGATAGTACTTCATGGATTTTCTGGAGATTAATAAAAT